TCAAAGGATTTTACAAATTTTGTTATTTTGTGTTGAAATAAGAAAAAAATGTTGTATGAAGATACGTCTTTTAAAAACGTATTAAAATGTTATGGTAATAGTATGAAATAAGGGAAGTAGTAAAAAATTCAGGATACAGCGATATAATACAGAAACAAATCGGCAATATTTGAAATTTATCTGTTTATGCAAGAAGCAACTAATATAAATGATCACCATTTTTGACAATACAACACTAAATCTTGACCATTTTTTTAGTTTTAAAATTTTCTCGTTTATAAACCTTCATATTCTCGAATTAAAAAATTTCTAATTACTCAATTTGCCAAGATTAAAAAATTTTCAATTCTTGTAATTTTCAAAATTTTTAAATATCCAGTTTTTTAAATTTTCAGAATTGCAAAATTTCCACTTCCTCAAGTTTTTAAAATTTCAAAATCTGCAAACTTCTAAATTGCACAATTCTTGAATTTCATAATTCCGGGATTTTTAAATATTCAAATTCTCCAATTTCACCATTCCGAAATCCCTAGATCCTCCAATTACATTTTGAAAATTCTGAAATTTTCAATTCCACAAATTTCCAAAATTTCAAAACCTGCAAATTTAAAACTTTTCCAATTCCCAAGTTTCGAAATTCCAAAGTTTCTAAATAGCTAAATTCTCAAATTTTCCCATCCCGAAATTCACAGATCCCCAAATTACATTTTCAAAATTCTGAAATTTTCAATTCCACAAATTTCCAAAATTTCAAAACCTGCAAATTTAAAACTTTTCCAATTCCAAAGTTTCTAAATAGCTAAATTCCCAAATTTTCCCATCCCGAAATCCCCAGATCTCCAAATTACATTTTCAAAATTCTGAAATTTTCAATTCCACAAATTTCAAAAATTTAAAAACCTGCAAATTAAAAAATTTTCGTATTCCAGGATTTCTAAATATCCAAATTACCAAATTTCCCCATCTTCAATCCCCAGATCCCCAAATCACCAGATGCACAAGGTTCAATTTCTCAAATTTTCAAAGTTTCAAAATCTGCAAATTACAAAATTCCCCGTTCTCAAATTTAAAAATTCCAAGATTACTAATTATTCAAATTCCTTAGTATCCCCATTCAGAAATCCCTAGATCCCCAAATAACTATATCCACAAATTCTCATATCCCATAATTTTCTATGAATCTAATTCGCCATTCGAAAATACTGTAATTTGCTAAAGTAACTGAAAATTTACATTTATTAAATATATTGTTGGAAAACCGGGTTCAGATAATTCGGGATTAACTTTAAATAGTTAATTTTATTTCCGCACAAATATCTTACAACAGTTAACTAACGAGTTTTTGAACTAGCACGGTTGAGTTGCGAATGAACTCTGACGAAACGGAGCAGAAATCGTGTAAAAGAAACCTTTTAGGAAAATGCTTATTGGTGGAAATTATTTAACGAGAGTGGAGGAAAAGAACAGGGATTGGACAAAATATTGAAAGAAAGTGGATTTCGAGAGGTGGTAATTTATGGGTCCTTGAGTGGACTAGGACTGATGATAGGAAGGGACCCAAGGTTAAGGACAAGGAAATAGGAACGGCATGGTAAAGAAAGTATTTTATGAAGCATATGGTTGGGATCTCCAACAATATTTAACTATTAATTAACTATTAGTGTAATCATTATCCATCCTTCTACTATTAATTGTGCACATGAAGTGCATTCGATAAAAGTTTCACGGTCGATTCGTCCATTGTGCCCGCATAGTACCAGAAATAGATTTCGTGTGTTAACCAGACCGATAAATCTCGAGTCATTTAAGAAACAATAAATTCAATGTTATAGTACATAGAGAAAATTGGTCATGAAACGATATTTCTCGACATCGCGTGTCGCTCAAGAATAATTATGCAGTTAGAACGTCGACTCGAGACACAACTAGAAAGCAGAACCTTGCCGTATTATTACGCGCGGAGAACGCAACAAGAAACCATCGTGCCTCCGGCATGCAAAGCTTCTCTCTCGCGAACTTCTCCTCTGGCTCGGGTTACACCTCGCCCCACCGACACTGTCGATCCCTATCGGTATCGTAAACTTTCTTTATCTAGACCATAAATACAGAAAGAAGTTCGCGGATGTCCGAAACAGCCCACGGCACCTCGTCAAAGCCGAGGCGTTCCTCGGCTCCGGTAATATCGCTGTACGTTCAACAGTTTGCAGACCTCGGAGCAACTTCTTACATAACGATTATCTATCACGCACGCTAGACTTCCGATAGACAGGAATCTGTGTATACGTGGCGCGTATAATGCACCGGTACACGTATACAACCGTATATGGAGAAACAGATGTTCCCGATACACTGATCACCAGTTCCGTATCGCGGCTTTTTATCTACGTCGACCCAGAATGAAAGCTCAATTCAAATGGATCTCCGTGGAATGCAATTTCATAGAACTATGAGGATAGAAAAATGCTTTCTCCAGTATTTCTATTTTTGAACACTTTTAGAGGACGTCTGTAATCTTTGCAGACATATTGAACTGAAAGTGAGAAACTCGAGTGCTGGAGACTGGCGCCGTTCAATTAAGCGAATCTCGCGATTCATCTTTTGCTGCATTCTACAAATAAAATTTGTAAGAGTTGTAAGAGTTGTGGGTCATGGTTTTATTTTCTTAGCACTCAAATTCTTTGTACTTTGAAGTGTCTTTTTCGTCCTAAGGAGAGGAGACCTAAAACCAGATCTGAAAACCATTTCCTCTTTCTATTCAGTGATCGAGTTATTTGAATTATACAAACTCATCAAAAATGGAAGTTACATTGAAATCAATTTAACAGCGTAAATTTCGCAACGGTTTATCAGCTGATATGGTCATTGATTAATTTGGTCTAACAGCACTTTAACCCCTTAACCTACAACTACGGGCATAGCTCATAGTGCGATCATCAGGACATACGTAAACCTTGTTTACGTTTTCGGCCCAAAATTCTTGAACGTAAATTGTAGGTTAGGGGGTTAAGATTATAGCAATAATTAGTTAGCTATGATACAACTGCAGAACAAAATCACAGGTTAAGGGGTTAACTGACTACACCTTTTCGCTTGAACAACAAGAATTATAAGGGACTATGGAATGCCACAATTAGAATTGTGTATAAACTGATTAGAATTCAAACATCACAGATATCGTTCGGTTAATTAATTAATTTTTTAAGTAGTTTCTCCTTGAACCTACAGATACAATGAGACATGATGCAACGCGAGAATTGCATTATGATTTATCTGATTCGTTCATTGTTGATTTCTTTTGCTTTCTTTTTTCTTCTCTTCATGCTGTCGTTTAGAGTCGTCTGAGTGCAAGTTGCATTAACTTCGCTAGCTTTCAGGCGATTAAATTGTTTTCGATGAGCGACAAAACGTCAGAGGTCAATTGTTGGATCGCGACAACTTCTTCCGACTTCTATCGCACTGTTTGAAGGTTCTAGAAGGGAATTCATGCGTGGAGTATATGTATGTGATGTTTGTGTATGTGAGGTTCGTTTGATAGGGTAAATGTTTATGTAGACCATTAAACTGTAGTTTGCTATTGATTTTTGTCTGGTTTATCAGTTGACGGTAATTTTTGCATTATTAAAGTGGTAGAAAAGATGTGTTATGGTATGTTTAAACGATAACACAAAATTATATCTGTAAGTATGTAGTACTTTTTATTTTGTACTTGTCTCTACTTATGTAATAATTTTAATTTTGTCTTTTGACCTATAAAGATAAATTATATTTAGTATTTCGAACTCGAGATTAGTTTCTTCTAATTTAAGTATATTTCTTTTTTTTTTTAAGAACACATCAAAGTTTAAAGAAGTACTGCTCCACTTAAATGGAATACCCTGCATATTTTATATATACAGTAAAATTTAAATAATAACATTTTATTTATCAGATAAAATTATGCACTCCGTTTCCCTATATTCCAAGGTAAAACTGAAAATTAAAACTGGAAAATGCTACTTCAAAATTTTCAAATCTTCAAATTTTCAAATTTCCAAATTCGGAATTCTAAATTTCGAATTCCGCAATTTTTAAATCCCGAAATTTTCACATTCTCAATATTTTTAGAAGTTTCCTCTTTCCTAATGTTTAAATTTATGACTTTTGAAAGTTTTAAATAACCATCTTCCCACTCGCCACAATTCTAAATTTATAAAGTTTGAAATTTTCAAATTCTTACATTTTTACATTCTTCAAGTGTCAAATGTTCAACTACCACAACTTTTATATTAAACAATTGTTTAACTCCTAAATTTACATATTCATAAATTCTTTAATTTTCAAACTCCGAAATTCATATATTCATTAAGAATAAATTTTTAAATTTAAAAATTTCAATTTAACTTAAAAATGTTTTAGAATTTTTATAATTACAGTCAACCAAAATTAATGAAAAATAATTAATTGATATTAAGTTTAATTAATTAAAGTCAACTGAAATTAATTAAAATTAAACAGAATTAGTTAAAATCAAATAGATTTAATTTGAAGCTACTCTAATTAATTAAAATGAACTAAAATTAATGAAAGTTGTCTAACATTAATTATATTCAACTAAAATTTATTAAAATCAACCAGAATTAATGAAAGTTATCAAAAATTAATTGTATCCAACTGAAATTAATTACAAAGAACTAAAATTAATTAAAATCAACCAGAATTAATGAAAGTTATCTTTCATTAATTGTATTTAATTTAATTAATTGTATTCAACTAAAACTAACTACAACCAAATAAAATGAATTAAAATCAACCAAAATTAATTAAATAATATGAAATTAACTTTATAATTATATGCAATCAAAAATTATAAATACTTTATTTTTACTATTTTTATAACCATTAAAATAATCAAAACATACTTTAAATAATAACATTCCAGTAGCAAATAATTAGAACAGTAACGTCATTAAAGACAGGTTATTATCAAATTTAAATTGTTTCTGTACAGTAACTTTATTTGTACATAAATCTCGATTAAAAAGTCGTTATAGTACAAAAATAGATTTCGTCTTCGGTCTTAAATGAATGCAGTCTTTTTATTGATATTGACCTATAACGTTAATAAATCCAAGGTTAAGTAGGGACGTTAACCTCTAAATTCTAGATGGGAACAAAATACATCCAGTACGCGCGCACTTGGCACAACTTCTCGAAACCAATTAATTTCTTTTCCACGCATAAATCAGTCCAACATATTTTACCAATTTAATCAATTTTGCATACAAAATATTGAAACTTTCGTATTTACCAATCCCCCGTCGCCAAAATGTCGGATCACCGACCAGCAGGTAAGACAGAGTTGGTCCTCAGCCAGCGATATTTATACTGTTCTAATTTTCGCAGACCCTCTCGATCGAAGCTTCAAAACTGTTTCCCCCGAAAATATCGAAAAAGTCCTCATCGATCGATCGTTTCATGTTTATTATTCGTAAACTGCATCTTGTCACTCTATGACAATTAAGTTACATTTTAGAAAAGACATAAACGTAATGTTTCGTTTTTCGATCGATTAATCGGTGGATGCGATTTATCGGTATATGATCGATTTGGGCAAGCGAGTCATGGTGGTCATCCATCACGCTCCATTTCTTGACCAATTGCTTTCGATGATCGGCTATGGCCAGCTCGGCGCCAAAAATAATTGCCAGAGCTCTGCGATTGCAAGGCAGAAGGCGAAACGAGGGCGTTTCTTCCTCTTCGTCTTCGTGTGTACGTTTCTGCGTCGCTTTCCTGTGAAGCTTTTTATTTTGATCGTTCGGCTGGTTTGCGTTCGAGTGCACATGGATCGGTGCAACAATGAGCTCCGGGGAAAGGTAAGAACGACGAAACATTTTGTCGGGTTGGGCCTCGGAACAAATTTCCAATTATTTAACTCCCACCTCAAATTAAAAAATTTGTTATTTAGTCACTTCATTTCATTTTTGTATTTACTATTTTATTTAGTTGAACTATTTAGTTTTAGTTTATAACATATTATTTTTTAGAAATTTTAATTTTATTATCATACTATTTTTTGTACTATTTCTTAGAAATTATGTTATTACATTATTAAACTCTTATTTCTTCGAAATTTATTTAGCATACTATTTCTCAAAAATTGTAATTTGTATCATATTATTTTTTAGAAGTCAACAATATTATTTTGTGGTATTATATCTGAAATATTTTATCTGTCCATATTTCGCAAATATTTTGTTTTATGAGCAACATTTTTAAATTTTATTATTTTCTATTGATACATTTTTTGACTATTGATCTATTGATTATAATTTCGAATAGTAAATGTGTAGTATTAAATACTTAATGAAAGTATTAATAATAAACAGTTAATTTTACAAAGTTTGTATTTTACCTTCACGTAATAGGGAAGTAATTTCATATTTTAATTTTTGTATGATGAGGACATGTAGATGAAGCTAGAATCATAGTCTTTTGCGCGTTCAAATGTCATTACGTAGGTCGAGATGATCATCCGTATTTCCTGTGCTTGCTCTTTCTATTAACATTGTGGCTGTGAGCCAACCTTGTGATCCACACTCAAATTTCTCCGCGATGTCATTAACGCAAGTTCATTTTTACTATCTTGTTTACAAACAAGTCTCATTTAGTACCAACAAACAGTAACTGTAATTAATTGTCCTTAGATTGAATGGATAATTATCAATAAAAAAAAGATTTCATTGCTAGATGTAGATGTAGGTCTAGATTTTTTTAGAAATTAATTTCTAGATCTAAATCTTTGTAAATCTTTCTTGTTATTTATAGATTTTGATCTTTCTAGAGTTTAATTTTTATATCATGATTTTTCTAGGTTTTAATTTCTAGATCTTTCAAATTTTAATTTTATAATTTGTAGACATACATCTAAGTTGTTCAAGCAGTAATTAAATATTATCTAAGTTTGTTATTCGAAAAAATTAAATTTACCCATTTTTAAATGACTAAAAGGTGAGTTCACATTTTAAGGACACCCTGTAATTACAAATTTCAAATTTAGATAAGTCATCAATTTCGTTTTTAAAACATAAGTTCATACAATAATTTATTCAAATTAACAAATTAAAACAATATATTTAATAATATACAGGGTGGCACACCACATTCTGCCATCTATAATTATATAATTATAAAATGTAATAATAATAACGATAATTCCAACTAATTTATGAGGCTATTTAAAATTCACTAGGTTTATGTATAAAATTTTATAAGGGAATGAATGTTATACGTAAATTCTAAAATTTCAATTTATTCGTCAATAACAATTTTAAGCACTTTGAAAGTTTGTTTAAAATCAGCTTTAAACTTTGTGAGAAAACTCCCAAACAAAAGTTCAGTCCATTCACAAATAACAATTTGAACCATTTTGATGTTCAATAACAGTTTGATGTTTACAAGTCCAAGTAGCTTTCACTTAAATGTCGAAATAGCCAACCCATTTAATCCCTCTAACTTTTTGCTCGTCGCAGCGTCATTAACCTTAAAAAAAGTGTGTGCATAAAGTTGACGTTTCAATGGCACGCGTTAATGATGATTTGAAAGCGAGTGCGATTCGTTCCCAGAATTTTTCGATCGATCCGTTCCGAATAAGTGATTTACCGGCACCGTGAATGGCGCGGAGGATCTATAAATCTGGCTTATGGAATTTAAGAGCATATAAATAGAATGGAGCGCGTTATTTTCATTCAAGGATGCTGCGACGTAGGATTATACGTCACGGTGTGTGACCGTCCATCCACGTAATTTGAAGCTATTACAACAACAACATTGTAATGGTGGTTGGAACTTTAACCGTAGGGGATAATAATATGATTGTGCACCTAATACACGACGCGCAGTAACTTCGAGCCTTCGGAGTTTACAGTCTATAGGCAATGAAGAAGAAGGTGATGTTCGATAGAATTACGGGCGCTTTTCCTCGCACGTTCGCGCGGTTGATCCGATGATAAATGAAATCGCTGATGATTTTTTCTGTTCACGACATTACCGGTAAACAGGACAACCATTCGATTAGATTTATGCGGCACGTTGCATCTCACAGCTGTTTCTTCGTGGTTATTTTTTCTGGCGGATTAAATTAAGTTCAATTGAGTTTTCTCGTCTTTCTTTTATCGAGTCTGAGTGCCAGTGTAATGGCGGGGTAATGACTCGTTTTGGGAGGAATAATTGTTTAAACTTGTGACTATAATACGTTTAAAATAATTATTACATCCTACTAATTATTTGCAAATATTACTCATCTTTTTTGGAATATTATTTAGGATATAGCATGAAATAGGGGGTTTGCAAAATGGTGGTACAACCACGAGGGTGAATCTTCTTGATAAAATAAATAAGAAATATATAAATGTTGACAACTTATTTTGGGAGGAATTGTTTTAACTACTGATTGCATTACGTTTAAAATAATTATTAGATCCTACTTATTCGTAAATATATTACTCATTTTTTACGAATATTTAGGATGTACTATGATCATACAAGGTGTTTGCAAAATGGTGGTATGAAAAGAGGGTGAATGTTCATTAAAAAATAAAACAAAAATATACAATAACAATTGACTTTATTTTTAAGAAAATTGAAATTGAACATGTTTCTATTATTTGTACAAAAGTTTTATTATGATAGAGTGGTCAAAGAGATTACAATCAAACTGCTGTTAAAATGATAATTTTTATTGTAATAAACATTTTCTACAAACAAGAATTTTAAATTTCAGCTTTCTCAAAAATAAAGTCGTTTTCAAATAATTTTTGCATTGGATTGCTCGTAGCACGAATTTTGAAACACCCTGTATAATTATTATTAATTTCTAATCTCTCAAAACGTATGGATTAATGTCATGTTACAATTCTTTTTTGTTCGATTCCTAAACTACCCATGTTCTACTTTTACTTTTAATCAATATGGAACATTTAACATTGATCTGCAATTAAATGCAAAGTATATGCAAAATCACGAGATTCCATCCTTGATGAATCTTACAAACTACAAATTTTCTATGATCAAAAATTATGATCCAGAATTGTTTTATATCACAGAGTTAAATAAAATAATTATTGGATTTAATTTTGTAAAATGCTAAGAATCAAAAGTACTTATATTTTATTGTTTTTAAAGAAAAAGTAAATTAAAAGAAACGCAGAGTTTGAAAAAACAACCTGAACTATATTCATATATTTATATTATTAACCTTTTAATAATTATTTTAAATATTAAGCATATATCGTTCATTTAATATGCCACAACCTAAAACATGGTAAGATTGTTTTTAAACAACCAGTCATTGTACAAAACATATTAACAAACAACTTATTAATTTCAATTAAATTTATTTTTATTTGTGCTTCAAATTGACATAGCATAAATATTTATCCTCGCGCTCTGATTGGTCCGTGTTTTTGCTTAATAATTCAAATACGAAGCTTCAAACCCTACTTTTGCAAAGGGAAATCTTACTTAAAATCATGTCAGCTACCCCCCATTTCAGGGACCTACACTAATTGTGAGACACCCTGTATATTCATTTTTAGTTGCTGTTATTAATCAGACTTTACTTTGAAAAGCAGACATTATCTTCCGTATTTGGCAATCGGCCATTTTACATAAAGAATATTATCGAAGGGATTGTATAGTCCTTATACTTTAAGCTTCAATGTGAGGCCTATTTTATAGTACTTCTATGTCATCAAATCTGTTTTCGAAGTTGGTCATTACAATAACCATATAGAATGTCGTATTTCGTCAAATTTAAATGAAATTGTTTCTCGATTTGCAGGCAAGCACCGAAAGTCGGGTGTCGGAAGAACAGGGTAGCAGCACGACCTCGCCCTCGGAGGGCAGGCACGCCGACGGGACATCCGGCTCGTCCGTCCTCGTGATGGGCAGCACGGACTCGGCGGGCAGCGCCCACAGTGGCGGCCCTTCCTGTGGCCTGGTCAGCTCCCTTTTCCCGAGCAGTTGTCGCGGACGAGCAGAGGCCTTTGCCAGGCGTCTCCATCGGCGATTGACGTCCCTCGGCGGCGAGGATGCTTCCCAGCGGAACGAAGACTCCACGAAACCCAAGGAGACATCCTGGTTACGTTCATCCTCGAACGCGAAGACGATGGTCAACAACGCTTCGTCCAATCACGTTTTGCAACATCAGCCTCGTCACAATCCGAACACGGACCTGTCTTACGACTTCGATTTGGACTTCGAAGACGGTCTTAGTTCGCCAGCCGAGGAAGCCACGGCGGCGGAAGTGGCGGACGTGTTTGTCAATCCTGAAGTACTGAAAAATCATCATGACCTGCGTCGAAGTTCACCGAACGGTTCGAAAGCCACGTTTTCCAGCTTGGATTCAGAGTCTGGTTACGTGTACGCGTCACCTCTAATGGAAAGGTCTCTGGACAGTGACTCGTCAGATATTTTCTTCGATCCGGAGTCATCGGACGTGGAGAAACCGAAGAACGAGGTGTTCTTCGACCCCATAACCACTTCCGACAGCGAAATGACTACCTCGAATCTTTCCAACGGCTGCGAGCCGACGAAGATGAAGAACATGCACCGCAGAGCGCTGGAAACGAAGGCGGAACGTTTCGAGGACACGTCGGAATCGAGTTCTTCGATGCTAAGAAACAGTTTCAGTAACGAGGAATTACAGAGTAACGATCTGATGTGTAATTCGAAAGACTCGAACGAGAGGAGCTCCTTGGAAACCACCTCGCTCAGCCACGAATCGCTCTGGAGCACTTTCGACGAAAGCACCATGTCCCTGCAGGACGAAAGTCCCTCCAGAATTAGCCCCGGCTTAAACGCCCTTCCGAATCGACTTCCCAAGTCACATTCCGATTCTGAGATACCTGTCCACGGACCTAGGCTAGTGATTTCACTCGAATTGGATAGGAATGGTGAGAAAATCGAGCAGACGGTCGACGAGGTTGATTTCGTTAACGGGATCTCAGAGAATGGGAAGCTGGAGAATATCAAGAACGTAAGAAATCTGGAAGTAAAAGAAGAGTCTCCCGAATCCTCCGACAACTCGAACGAGGAAGATCTTCCTTACGACGAAGAGACACCGAAAACGACGGTGCCACAATCGAACGATGTCCATAGTTTGAAAGTGGAAGAAATTGTTACCAACGAGCCGGAGGATGGTTCAACGTATAGCAGTATGATCAGCATTCCTGGTGCTCTCACTTTGGAGTGTCCTACAGGAGAAAGAATAACGGAAGTAACGATGAAGAACGAGGTACAATTACAAATTGAGAACGGGTCTGTGCTGAACAGCAACGACGAGGACAAAATGTGTCTGTTGCTAAAGAAGCTGGCTACCGATTCAACTGTCAAAGATGACACTCAGGAGCCTACTCAAAAACCTCAGGAGGACGGTATCGAAGAAGAGGAAGAAGAAGTTAGGCCACAAAAGATTAGACGGTCCTCGTCCTTGAAAACAGGGAAGACGCCACCAGGAACGCCTGGAAGGAAAAAGATCGTCAGATTCGCGGACGTTCTCGGTTTAGACCTCGCCGACGTGCGAACGTTCCTCGACGAGATTCCGAAGATCCCTAACTCAGCCTACAGTGATCTAATTTACGACGACATCTTCCAGAAGGATACCAGTCCGATAAACAGCATCCCAAATACATGGGAAGATAGGTACATAGAAAGCAGACGAGGGTCCGGCTGCGCGGTACCTTCTCGTAAACTGGACAGAACGTTGGTGCCTTTGTTCCAACAACCTGGTGGTTTGCCTAATTTCCTGGATCTCGTACGCGAACGCAGAGTCTGTCTGGAGAACGTGCTCGTTCAAGATCCTATCTCGCTGTGCATCCAAGGCACGGTGCGCGTGATAAATTTGGACTTCCACAAATCGGTGCATATCAGATACACGTTGAACTCTTGGAAAAACTTTAGCGATCTGCAAGCAACCTACGTACCGAACTCGTGCGACGGTTTCAGCGACAAATTCTCGTTTGTTCTGTATTGTCACACGCTGTCAGTTGGGCAGAGACTGGAGTTTGCGGTTCGATTTCAATGCAAAGGTGAACAGTACTGGGATAACAATGCCGGGGCCAATTACTGCTTCCAATGTTTGCCAGCGTCCTCTGCTATCGGTTACATACCGATCACAGCACAGGCGAATCAACAGCATGACTGGTCGCCGATGTTCTACTGATGGACGTGCTGGCCGTTGATGTTTGCGCGGGTTGCTATGTGGAGACAGTGATGTTTCACGGAGGCAAGGAGTCTAAAGTGGATCCGAATAAGGCTAACAAGCGACAGACAGAAAGAGAGGGAGAAAGAGAGAGGGAGAGGAAGTCTACGGATGAATAAACGTTCCTAAAGTGTACCTACTGTACATAACTGTTCTAAGGAGCTGTTGAAGGAACGAGAGGTCGGATCGAAAAGCAGGGATCGCACTGGCGTCAATTATTCTTTCCTGCCATCTCTCGAGGAGCCTTTAAGTGGACTGGAAGAACTTGACGCACCTGTTAGACTGATATTTTTTACACGTTAGTTGTTCCTTGTTTACGCTGAAATATACAGGGTGTCCTAAAAATTACTCTGGGTTCTCCATGACAAAGCAAAACGGAAAGTCTTATATCAGTTTGCGGTCTCTTCCAGACGCAAGTCAAAATAACTGATTTTGGATAGATGTCTTTCCACACACAGACACTGTCACTCTTACCTCTTTTAATAAACATTAATGTACATTTCTGATCGTTGATTACTTGCGTATGTGTACATCTACACATATACATTTGTTAGCTAGGTACACGTGTCTGGTCGTCTAAAATTTAACATCTCAGAAGTTAAAAGATCACAAACTTATAAAAGATTTTTCAGTTCGCTTTTTTGGGTTATGGCCGGTTTTGGAACATTCTGTATGTCACAAATAAACGTCTCGAGTGAGCTGCACACAGCTGGCTGAAGAACAAAAGACAAACCCAGGCGCTTAACCTGATCTTCGAAAGGAAAATGGAGTACGGCTTCTGGTATTTAAAGCGTCTTTGGACTGATTGAGGAGAATCATTCGGGGAAGAGCATGGAGAGTATTTTCACGTTCCTAGAAAGTACCTAATTATACAGACTTCACAACTGAGCCTAATACGTCTGGTAAGACTTATTAATGGTACAAGAAATCTTGAGATGGTCGACAGCGAACGACTCTGTCATTCTGACAGTGTTACGATTATGAAATATATAGGAGAAATTGTTCGATGGAATGAAACGTCTTAAGAAAGTTATGATACTGCTTTTCGAGAGTGCACAATTGAAGGCTCCGTTTATCTCTTTGTTTTGTTAATTTTAACGATATCTTACTTCTAATTTTAACAATATCTTGTACAAATACTCCTGAAGTAACTCAATAAGGTTGAAACGACTAGTAAAGTTGAAGCGATATCTTTGTTCATCGAAAACATATCCGTTCAGCAAACTCTGCAACGACCAATCTAATCTTCGTCAAAGTTTTATCTCTTTTTTTATAGCATGTTTTCATCCTAGTAGAAAATAGACTTGGTTTCAAAGTTTCTTCTTCGATCAAACTGTTCGATTTGTGCCAATTTGATCCAGTGCCATTACAATTCACAAAATCGCTTCGAAACACACATATATGCGTACAGTTTTTTTTTAATTGTGATAATTTATAAATGTGGGATATCGTACTGCCTTTTGGCGTGTTTTATTTTCTTATTGTGTTATTTGTAAAATTTTAATTTCTTACCGAAGATTTGCTACAAATCACGGGAATAAGGCCTGATTACTCGCAAACGTCGTTACTGCGTGTAACGATGATTGCGACTTATTCTATACAAATATACTCGATGTACAAAAATGGGGCGCCAAAAATGCGACGAAAGAGTAATATAATCAGACATTTATGTACATAGAATTTACGTTTTATTTTTATTTCAATGTTGACTAGCTTTATAAGATAATTCGATTCAAAGATTTATTTTTCGTTGAAATCGTGCGCGCCCAAAAACACGAGCGTACATTTTTTAAATAATTTAATTAGGAGAATCATGTTTCGTTCATTTTTGCGAAGCCCCATCAACGACCAGAATGAATAACGAACTAAAGTGTGCGAGAAAGAATAATATATCATCGTCAACGTAACTCGACGTAGACATTTTTACTGTCTCGAGTTCAGCGTGTATAGACTGATTGCGAGTCAAAATGAAAAAACAGCTTCGTGCGAGATCACCTTCTATAGAAACTGCAATTATCGAATTAATCGAGTTGCTACGTGACGTTTGTAACCCTTAGCTGTTAGTTTTAGGTGTCCAAAGTCGAACGTCAGACCACGTTAACGACGAACCAATAGCGACGTTTTGCACTCGAATCGAGAATCGTAAAATTGCGGCGTAGTGCTCGAAATCACAAGATACGATAATACTTCATCGCACCATTATTTTGATAACGTTAAGCGTTTGTTTTTTAACCCTGATTACCACCAGTCTCGTGTGGCCCGGTGGTATTGGCGCTGATTATTGCAATATAACGTTATAATACAGAAACGAACGACGATATTAAAGATTATTAATATATTGTTAAAGCGACGTTTATAGATATATCCAGATATTTTGTAACAGTTTTGCGGTACAGAGATGTGTATATGGATACGTAAATTGTATATACGCGGCGTCAGTATTGGTGAGTGTGTTCAGACCAGTCATTTTTGTCCATTTTGTCTTTATTGTACAATTTCTGTTCTTATATTTTACAACGATGTAACCATATTTTTATTTTATTATACAACTCTTTTCTAATTTTATATCGAATAAGTATGGCGTTTTAACCGTTCTGTTATATTGTACTATTTTAATATTTTATTCGAGGGTAAACTTATACGCGAGTGCTTGAAATGTAACTTTTTAAAGGGTCTCTGTTTTAATGTATTTTTTCATTATTTTATTCTGTTTGGACACAACCACCAGTAGTGAGGCCACCGATATTTACATACATATTTACTCAGTACACAATGAAAGCCTTTTCTAGTTATTCTATGTACATATACGTATCGAAATGAAGTCGACTTCTATTCTGGTTAACGAGAGAATATTCTTTCACACGTTAAGAGCAATTATTAAGGTTTATAAAGAACAGTTATATCACTGACAACACAAATTCTAATATTTTAATTGTTACGAAAGCTCGAGCCTGATGGAGACGTTTCGGTGATTCTTCTCAAAAAATTATTTTGGTATGAATATTTTTTATTATGAAAAATATTAGTGGTGTAAATAACGAATCAATCTATTTTTGATGTTTTAATTAATGCAGCTGATTATTTGTAGAAAATGTGTATATAAAAAATTATAGCAACATAGTGTTGCTTCTTGAAATTAAAAAGTAATTGCAAAATTAGGAAGTGTAAATTGAAAAATTAGGAAAAGTTGTAATTACGAAATAAGGGAAATCAAGGAATAAAACAAGTTTTATTCATGAATAAATGTTTTTGTAATTCTCCTGTAACATATGATATTTAGGTTAACAAAAGTTTAAAGAAAAAGTTTAAATATTCAAAAATATATAAACTGAAAGCAATAATAAAACAGAAAGTGAATAAGCAAAAATAAGCAAAAATGTAGAAAATTTACAAAAATTAACGACAACATTTTATTTTCATTCTGAGAAACAGTAAATAATTTTCTTGTTTATTTTGTAAAAATAAATTTTTCAGTAGAATTACCGAAACAATCTCTGTACGAACAATTTCTACAAACTAATAACTTCTGAAACAGAATTAACATATTAACGATTGTTAACCCCTAATTCCTATACCATTTATGCAGCACAAAGTATCATCGCGAAAGAAATATTCTATTAAACAAATTGTAAATTCTATATTACAAATTTTATATCGTTTGCAGAAATTCTGTTTCAGAGTTATTTTCGGACAAATTCATATAACAGTTACTACTATGGATAATGTCAAATTATTGCAAAAGATGATTGAATTGTGCAGAAAGCTCTAATTAGAGTCTCGAAATAGTCTATAGCGTCATTTTTCAATCCACCGAAATTTAATTTGTGAGGAGTTGTACCTTGTAAAATTAATATGTGAAGAATGGTACTTGTTGAAATTAATTTTTAAAAAATGTCAATTTTTACATTATTTGTCAAAAATAGAAGTTAATTTGTATAAGTTGCTACTTTGCCAAGTTAATGTGTAAAGATTGATAATTTATAAAATTCATTTGTGAACAATGGTACTCTGTGTAGTTAATTTGTAGAAAATGGTACTTTATAAAATTAATTTATGAATAATGGTACTCTGTGTAGCTAATTTGTAGAAAATGGTACTTTATAAAATTAATTTGTGAAATATGGTATTTTATAAAATTAATTTATGAATAATGGTACTCTGTGTAGCTAATTTGTAGAAAATTAATTTGTACTTTGTAAAATTGATTTTTAAAATATATTTTACCTAAAAAATACTAATTGCACAAATAATAAATTTTGATTCAGTTCATATATTGTACATTACCATATTTATCCACTCTTCACATTTTTTACATATTATCAAACAACAAATATTGAAAGAATATTTACTTTCCAAATTCCTAAAATTACTATTTTACTTTTAAAATCACTATCAATAAAATTAGTAAGAAAAGTTATCTAATTGTACTTTAATATTAACATATGTGTTATACATGTATAAGTATTTGTCTCATGTAGCCAAAATATGTGTCCCATAAAAATGCATCAAATTTTACAATTTAATAAAACAAAATATTACCTAAAATTTATTATTCAATTTGTGTCTCAGTAAAAATATACCATTATTTACAAATTGATTTCGACAAAAAATGGCGGCAATACATATTTCGTGGTTCTAATTAGAGGATGTCTGCAGGCGAACTATTTTTGTTAATCTTCGTGTTATTGTCACCTCGTGAGTAAGATTCTCTTTGTCGGTGTGGTGTTTCACGTAAAATGTATCGTCTCGTGCTGCGAAATCGGGTTTAATGGTAACTACGACATTCGAGAGACTCTTGCGTCATCGAGGAACCAAAACACGCGCGAAAAAACACGTGGATCCTCGAACGTAGAAACATTTTGACACCGTGCCATTTTTCTAAGCTTGATTCGTTATTGAGCGTCGGTGGGGTTTTTGAAATTTTTATTTTTATACCGATCAGACGGTTCTTTTTTTAAACGCCGATGAGACAGCTCGATTGGACAGCAGTGTATTTGTAGATACTGTGAAACTTTTGAGAGAAATACACCTATCTCCATTTATGCTCAAAGTTCCTCAGAAAAATATAAATAAGAAAAATCGTGTCATCATGTAAATCGAAAGTCTGTTACTAAACCATACATCTAGTTAAATATTAGTCTTAAAATATATTAAATATTATGTATTTAATTTAATTGAATATTAGTCTTGTTCTAATGAGAAAAATATTCAAAATTTATTTGCTATATCATAACAAAAAGAAAGAAAAAATGGAAAATATGATAGTTTTATTCTTGCATTGGTATTCATTCTAAATGTTTACGTTCACTGGTTATTTTAACACTAGGTTTATGAGCGTCTGCAGTTGCTTTTAAGTTAAAAATAAAGTACAGCGATAAATATATAAAGAATGAAACATAAATTAATTTAAACAATATACAATCTAAATTATTCTTTAACATAATAAAAATAAGCATCCATTTCAACAAAAAGCGTTTTAATAATATCTGTAATTTGTAACAAGGAATCAAAGATGCGCCATTTTGAGACGTTCCGTAAATCCAGTGTTAAACTCATTATTTTAAAAACGATGCAAAAGTAAAATCGTATAAATCGGTGAATTTGAATTTGGAAAAATATTTTTAGAAATATCTTAACTCAAAATTGTATACGAGTGTTACCTAATTTAAACGTTTTATGTAATTTTTAAATTATCCATTACATTAAAAGTTATTGTATATTGGAGTCGCTATTTGAATTTCAGTTAGAAATAATAGTGTAATAATGGTAATGAACAAACGAATGAACTATGCTAATATAATGATTTAATAGATACAGTTTATTATGAGGATGTGAATTGAATATATTTTTACATGAACTTAATTCATTATTTAAACTTAATTCTCTAAATAATAGTTAGTAGTTTTTAGTTACTTTTAGGTTAGTTTTAGGTGATATATACATTGGTAAGCATTGTAGATGTTCATAGGAAAAAATGGAAATTTAGGGGACAAGAATCAAATTATTAGGAATTTTTATTGGTAATTTATTTACAAAACTTTCAAATCTCTTTAAAGATTAAAAACTAGTTCAAAATTTAGTGATATTTAAATTTCGAACTGTCGAAATTTCGGTTCGGTAAAATTTAAGAATTTGCAAAGGTTAAAACTTTAGAATTTAAGAATTTGAAAGTTTGAACATTTGGAAATGTGGAAATTTAAGAATTTGTGAATTTGAAAGCTTGAACATTTGGAAATTTGAAAAGTTAAGAATGTTCCAAATTGAAAGCTTGAAAATTTGGAAATTTGAAATTTTTAGAATTTCCCAAATTGAAAGCTTGACAATTTGGAAATTTGAAAAAAGAATATGCAAATTTCAAAGCTTGAAATTTAGGAATTTGAAAATTTAAGTATTTGCAACGTTAAAAGCTTGTGAATTTGAAAATTTTCGAAATTGAAAGCTTAAGAATTTGAAAATTTGGAAATTTAAGAATTTTTGAATTTCAAAGCCGGAGAATTTGCAAATTTGCAAATTTGAGAATTTTTTAAATTGGAAACATGAGAATTTGGAAATTTGAAAGTTTAAGAATTTTTTAAATTAAAAGCTTGAAAATTTGGAAATTTGAAATTTTTAGAATTTCCCAAATTGGAAGCTTGAGAATTTGGAAATTTAAAAATTAAAAAATTTGTGAATATGAAAGCTTAAACATTTGGAAATTTGAAAATTTAAGAATTTTCCAAATTGGAAGTTTGAACATTTGGAAATTTGAAAATTTAAGAATTTGCAAATGTGAAAGCTTTAGAATTAGAGAATTTGAATGTTTAGCAATTTAGACATCGGCAAATTTTGTTTAATTCCATTTATGAAAACCATAAATTGCTCGTTCAGTTTAACCTCACCTTCGACACCTCTAAAGTGTAGACCTAGTTATAATAGAATCTCCGTATCTTCGAGTGATAGATTTCAAACGCTAATTTAACATTTTGGAATATTTACAACATTATTTTAAAACTGTATATTATTTGTCCCTTATTCATTCCACTTTTCTCATAATTTTATCAGGTAATGTGACTGTGTTGATCTATAACAGAGCTATATGTATACTATATAATATTTATTCTACCAATCTGTTTTTTATTTATGCACAGTTCAATATGTTTCTTTTAACAATAGCTAACTTTCATATAAAATATTCTATTATATAATGGATGATTTAAGAGTTACCTAAAATAGTTAAGTGATTAATTCAAATCAATTGATTTTTATGAAAATTCATATCATAAGTCGACAAATAATTCAAAATTGCGAATTTGTACTGTTTCTTTTATTCTTCTGTATTTATTCGAATTAATTCAAATTTAGCTTTGCGGTTTTGTCAAATTTTCTCATCATCTTCGTAGAGTTACATCGAACCGAGCATTACAAAAGTATATTTAAGTTTAATGAATTAATGAAGTATCAATAACAAACTGTAAATGAGTTCAAATGTGCATCTAAAAGCTTCGTTATTTTTACTTATCAAGATTTTTTAATTGTCGATACAGTACTCCAAAATACTCGACGAGCAAATGTCTCAAATATTTATAATACTGGAAATTTAACACTAAACCTACCAACGTATGCACACTTATTTTGAAATTAAATACAAAATCAAAAAATAAATAAATGATTGTACTCATTTATTCTCTGTCCTCATAAAAATTAACATGGATTTGAAGAAAACTACCTTAACAAATTTCGTACCTCAAAATAAGAAACTTATAATAAATAATTTGGTAGGCTCAGTGTTAATTAAGCTTAATTAACATTAATGTTAACTTAATTACCAAATTATTTATTATAAGTTTCTTACTTTAAGGTACGAAATTTGCTAAGGTAGTTTTTTTCTTAATGTTAATCAAGCTTAATGTTAATCTTAATCAAGCTTAATGTTAATTAACATTAAGCTTGTGCATGAGGGAGTAAAATTATTACCGCTCTTTTCTTTTAAAAGAAAGTGTTTCTACGTTCGTGGAAAGGAAAATTATAACTCGAGGATTTAGAATCAGACAACATAAACTCCAAAAACATAATATTACAGGGGAGAGAACTATGTCCAGTTAGTTTTTTGACTCTCCACAAATGTTGCAAAATCAAAACGTTATCTTCAAAAATATTTAAATTATTTATTTTTGCATAACATTTTTGTAGTTGATACTTACGACTTCTATGATCGTAAATCTTTACATCGTAAGTCTTTAACATAAAATAGTGAGTTAAAGTTATCTGACTCTAAATCCTCATAAAACAGCATAGTTTTATATGTCATTTACACGTAAGCATACGTTGCACCTCTAGTCCATAGAGCCGTGAGCTTTCGTCCAATTACCGAGCCTTTTGCAGTTTTTAAATAAAAAATTTCATGAACAAAGTGAAATCGATGTTATTGAAGTGTTAAAAAGCGCGAAAGACTGCAAGTTTGTGTATATGCGTGCGTGTGGGTATGTGTACGTTTGGAAAAGAAAAATTGAGAGAGAACGAATGAAAGGGCGTTGAAATATCGATAAATCTCTTCGCCCAATTTGTAACAGTTATTTTTATTTTATAATCTTTGTTCCTTTCCTTTTCTGTCGGGAGAGAAGGAACGCATTCGCTTGTTTTTCTTTTTTTTTGTTTTCGTTTAATTTCGGCTGTGAAACGAATTAATAACAATTAGCAATGAACAGCCTTCGAATTAGAAATTATCTCTGCAAATTAATATCGTTGTTTGCTGTTGTCTGTTTATTTCTTTGATGCTCTTGACGCTGGAACAACCAGTGACGAATGACTTTTCTTTTTACTTTCATTTGTCATTGCCTTTCTTTTCGGTATATCTTTAGATTTATTAACTGAAGTTTTCGTTGAACTGTTTAAAACGTTGAAATGTAATAAGACAAAAAATACTTTTGTGTAAAATAAAGGATTTTAATAATATTGAATAGACATATAGGGTAAACTACCATGATTGACAACATAACCTAAAATTCAGTGTCAAAGAATCGATTTAATAAATAGGGACTTTGTGTTTTTTATTGAGAAATTGATTTATGAAATATATGATTTGTAAAAATTGATTTATAGATATAACAAGATAGAATAAAATGGTTACTTTGTTTAAAGATCTTACAACAATAAAATCTTATAAAATTTATAACAAGGATTTTATCAAATTTACAGTTTAAAGATTTCATAAAATAATTTGAAGATTTTATAAAACTTATAAAATACAGTAAAATAGTTAATCGTTAATAGACTTCATACGTTGTACCATTACTTAGCTTATAATTTTGTATTAATTTGACAAAGTATGTAATTTTTCACAAACAACAGAATGCAATCCAGTTTCTTTTTATTTAACATTAAATAAATGCATATGTATTTAGCAAGAAAATATTCAACGTACAATTCTTATCAATTACTTCTAAAATTAGGTATGCCAAAATTCATACAGTGTCATAATTAACATTGTTTACCCTGTTTGAAATAAATTGAGACCAGATAAAAAGTAACAAGATTTATCAATTTGCAAAAGTATAAACATATTTTATACAGAACATTAAAATTAGTCTCAAAAATGAATTGTCATATATCATTACTTCTTAATTTTTTTTAATTGTCAACGTTTAGAAAAAAATCACATGAATAATTTTCATTATAATCATACGTAAAGAAAGGAATGGTTGTTCCAGTGTAAATCCTACTCGTAGAAATCTTAAGAGTCAATTCTGATGACTGAATACACATAGTACTATTTTTGAAGACTTTTAGGGCCTCTAACAGAAAATTAATAAGCTTCAACGATCTTTATTTATCTTATGGTCAGGAGAAACAAGAACAGTAGATATTTGGTTTCCAAAAATGTATAAAAAGTGCGACTTCGTTTTGAAACCAAGAAGCAGTATTTTGTCATAATTTCTTTTTCAAAATATTCTTTGTATAATCCTCAATGCGGCGAAGAATGCATCTTTAAAAAAATGGGAAATGGAAAAATTTTTTCTATAAAAACTTGCATGTTTCTTTCTAGTGTTTTAAGGATAACATTGCAAAATTCGACTCTGTACCTTTTTTTTGTATTACTATCGCTTTAATTTAAATTAATATTGCTCCAAATTACTTGAATTACAAAGTCGTACATATACATTTTTGGAAACTAAATCTCTATTATCCTTGTCTCTCCTAACCTAACCTAACCTAACCAAAACAACATAAGATGAACAAAGAACGCCGCAGTTTCTTAATTTCCCGCCAGAGATCTCACCTTAAAAAATGATACTGTTGTGAGTATTCAACCATCACAGTTAACTCTTGAGCTCGTCCACTCCTTTTACTAGATTTCACATAATCTTTTAAATCACTATTCCTTTATCCTACTTCTTTTCTCACATTTCCGTCAAAAAGTAAAAAGTTCACAACTGTGAACCAGCTGCAAAGGTTGTTCTACTTGATAACAATATTTCTGCTACGTTTTACAACATTTTAAATTGATTTTATTCATTACTGATCTGCCGTTGTTAAGGGAGCTCGAAAGCGCGGATCTATGGTTTCATAATCAATGATCGAATTTGAGGCAAGACTGAGCGAAAAGTCTCAACAGAAAGTGCTTAGTTTTTTTATGCACAGAATGAATAATTCAATCTTACGAGTCATTTAAATCGGTGGTCTACAGAAGCTTAAAATAAATGATATGAAATGTGAAGAACACTGACACTTATTCAAAATTAAATCTAATAATTATTATTAAAACACTTATTAATTATAGTGACAAAATTAAATTATTGATGCAGTGTAATTTTGATGGAGATCGAACGATAAAATTAGGTGAAATTGCGATTCTTCAGAAATGTAATTTCGAATCGACTTCTCGAGATAAATTGGAAAAGTTTACTAGTTTTAGGTTATTTTCAAGAGATATGAGATAAAAATTGGATTGAATTTCATCAGAAGTTGAAATATGAATTGAACTGTACAAAATATTATTTAGTCTTTTTATGTGTATTGATAAGATTTGGGGATTCGTATTTAACAGAAATAATGAAAATTTGGTATTTGGAAATTTGGAACTTTGGTGATTTAGAAATTTTGGAAGTTTGAGGGCTTGGAAATTTAGAGATTTGAGGATTTGAAGTTTTGGAAATTTGCTAAGTTGTAAATTGAAGAATTCAGGGAATTTTTACTTGGAGAAATTGAACGTTTGGGAGTTTGGAAATTTGGAAAGATAAAAATTGGAAAATTTAGAGAGTTTTGAATTTGTAAATTTGGAAGATAGGTAATTAGGAAATTTGGAAGATAGATGACTAGGAAATTTGGAAATTTAGAAGATAGGTGATTTGAAAATTTGGAAACTTGGAAATTTGGAAATTTGCTAATTTGGTAACTTGGTAACTTGATAACTTGGTAATTTCTTAACTTGAAAGCTTAAAAATTTGTTAATTTGATAATTTGACAATTCAGAAATGAAAATTTAAAAATTTCATGAATTCAAAAATAGGAGTAAAAAAATTTGAAAATTTCATAATTTTAAAATTTGTTCATTTGGCGATGTAACAATTGATAATTTTGTAATTGGGTGATATAATAATTGGTACTTTGGCTCTGCACGAGAACTTACAAACTGGGAAATTAAGAGAACTGAATATTTGAAAATTTTGCATTTAAGTACATTTGAAAATTTGAAAAGTTAAGAGTTTTGTGATTGTCGAGATTTGGGGATTTGGAAACTTGCAAATTAAAAATTAGAAAATTGTGAAAGTTAAGAATTTGCGAATTTGGTCATTTTTGTTCCTAAATATCTGGTAATCTGATAATTAGATAATTGGTAATATGGTACTGTAGAAAATTTAAATTAGGAGCTGTGAAATTTCTGGAATTAAAGAAATTCTGGAACTTTGGAAATTTAAAAACTTGCTGAATTTGCAGTATTGATAATTTAATGATTTCGAAATTTGGTAATTTAATAATTAGTAACTTATTACTACGTGTGATCTGAAGAATTGAGTGTCTGGAAATTTGAAGAAACTTAGCATTGTAGAAATTTGTAAATTAAAAAATTTAAGAATGTATTAATTGTAGAATTTGAAAATTTCAAGATTCAACAAATTTGTAAATTTTGCTGTTTTAATTAATAAAATATTTTAACTAATATAATACACGATTAAATACGTTCGAAAAAACTCTCCAGCAAAAGTGCCGTGTCACTCTCCCGTTTCTTATTCGTCGGTATTTCCAATTACGCTGCATCTTGCTAATTAAAATAATAACACGAATTGAAAATATTTTTATATTTCGTTTATTCGATAATAACCCAGCCTGATTTCAGATTGCTAAAATCAAGCGGAAAGTGTCACTGATAGATACGGTACTCGGCTTTTGCGAATGTTGTGCAATAATTACGTTTCTGAAAGCACGTATTTTATTTGCACAGAACTGTCGAACAAGTGTAAAAATAACTTCTGGTTGTCCTTCGATATGATCGAACATCTGCCACGTTTTTTTTCATTTCGAATATTTGCGACAGGTCAGTGATATTGCTTATCAAACATATCGTTTAATCGAGAACTCTTATGTATATATTTGTATACATTTCTTATGTAACCATTCACAGTAGATTTGAATATTTTAACGCAGCAATTACTTTTAATACCGTTTGACGTTTTACATTATTCAAAGACATAATTGTTATACAACTATGGTTTTATGCAGTGATACTACTCGGTTCAGTAATAATTGAGCAGAATAATTTGTCAACACAATTTTCCATAAATTTCCACGATTAACTTTATTCACTCAATGTTTCAATCAATATAGAAACCGATGTTTAATTTAATTTCAATGCTCCTCTAATTTTAATTAATCAGGTAGAGTGCTAAAAACCATTTTGTTTGTATCATCATTCTTCCCATTTCTTCTTTTCTTTCCCTTTTAATAATGTGTTCAACACGAAGTTAAATTGCGTTCTGAAATATCTTCACAAAATTAAGCACCAATGCTTGAGACTGATAAAATCGGATTACCATGTACATATTTTATTAGCGAAAAGAATGAGAACATGTTATTAAGATCCATGTAATCCTGTAGCGTAGAGCTCGATTACTTCCCTTTTCTCTTCCTTTATCTCCGTTAAGCATCGATCGTTGATGAGAATTTATTTTTAATCGAATTTTGTTTGTTTAGATGTTTCTTTATAGTTAGGTATAATTTCGTGTTTATTGTTACACGAAAGGCGTGGGTGACAGCGTTTGAAGATTCTGCTAGAAATATATTGCAACTAAGGAGCGAAGGATGATGAAGGAATGAAGTATCTATACGTATGAGTAAACGTATATAATATATATGTAACACATGTTCTATATGTTATTAAGACAATAAATGGAAGACCGATTGATAGTTACTTTCCTTGTCCTTTTTCTTCTCGTACTTTTTTCATTTTAATATCGAAAATTTATTTCTAAATTTTAGTTAAAGTGAAGTGGGGTAAGTGCAGACTGATTTTGGTAAAGTTGGTATTTAATCGTAAGTATTTTCAGTCTGCTACGTAAATACTTAACGATGTCGATATCGAACGCTTTGCACAATTACTACTATTTAATTAATATTAACTAAGACCTTAATTTTCCTTCTACATTTTGATTTTGATAGGAAATTGTTCAAAATGTCAACTACTCTGCACTTTCTCCGAAAATGGGGTAAGAGCGTAACTTGAAGTTAAATACTTTGAAACTTTATTTCATGTGCAATAGGGCAAGAGCTGAATTATTAACACATCTGCTATAAAATGTTTTTACTGCATTATGCAAGTACTCTATACTGCAAACAAGTACTCTTAGCGAAATATATATTAGTATTGCATAAAAGGTATTTCATGCATAATATATATATGTGGAACTTAGCAATATGTACTACATTAAAATTAAATACGACATTTTAGATATTAGTTACACTACTTGCTACAAACGAACTAAATCGGGAAACTGTCGAGTGCACAATGTTACCACCATTATCCCTATCGAAAGGATATAAATGTGTCATCAAAAATTTATAAACACTAAATACATATCGAAGAACTCTCTGAAGTGGTTCTGTACTATAGAGATAAAATAAAGAAGAACTTGAGATACTTTTAAGAGTCGAGACTGTCCCATTAGATTTTGTATTTCTGGGTAAAAATTTTATTTCTGCATATTCATTATATATTTTGTATATGAAACTTAATTGTATTATGATATGATACTTCAAAAAAAGATGACAATAATAGTTACAATTTGTATGAATGTTCAAAATTCCCTTCGGGCAAAGGTAAACTATGTCTCATGAGAACTAAGTATAGGGATACTTTTGAGCGATAGTGTAGATATGATATGATATGTATAATAGGAATTTAGAAACGGCGATTGGAAATTGAGAGATTTTGTAAGTTGGAATTTGGAAATTTTGAAAATAGTGATTTGGATATGTACAAATCGTGAAATATGAGAACTTGAAGACTTGGAAACTTGAAAATTCAGAAATTTTCGAAATGGCGATTTATATATGTACAAATCGCAAGTTTGAATATTTTGCAGGTTTGAAAAATTTAGAAAGTTGAAAATTTAAAAAATTTAGAATTTGAATGTCTGACATTATACAATTTTGAAAATTTCTAAATATTTAATATAAGGTATATGAAATATTCTATGTTCTATGACATATATAAAGAGTCTATTTGATAAAGCAAAATCAAATTAAATTATATAGAAATTTTACTACTATATTAGGTAATAATTTTATTAATAATTATGGAAACATTCATTGTGAGTCAAGGTACCTATTGATCTTAAATGGTAATAAAATTTGCGGTAATTACATGGTCAAAAATGATACAACTACATAATATTTATATTCTTACATTAATTTGAAAATTATTCGCTATATAACACAGATAATATATGAAACTTGTATCACATTCTCATCAAACACTATAATTATTTCCATTTATGTTGCAAACTAAGCATCGTCCCTCAGAATGTAAAAGTTATCAAAGATTTGCGCATTTACGTACGAGTTTCTAATTAAAAATAGATGGCTACATTAAAGTATAATAGAAATGTAAAAATTAATATGCAATAGCGCCTGTTTAATTCATACTTCGAAAACTTTGTTCAGTGTGATGAAACTAATTAAGGAATAGCTAATACTCCGGAAATTAATGGCGCAATTGCCACAAATGCTACAGCTGCTTTAAATGTAGCATGCTTTCTACAACTGTTACTATACTGTTTACTATAATTGGTGTAGTTATAATTTATTTACTATATATAATATTAGGTTGTTCGAAAAGTCATTTCGTTTTTTTTTTTCGATGAAACGAAATATGATTTTCTTATAGTGAATAAATATTTTATTCTATTAAAAATGGAAATCCAATATACTTTACCATCTTTCTGACAGTAACATAATTCCACGTTCATAAAATTTTTATTCTTTGCTGAAAAAAAATTGATGCAAGTGAATTTTCGCCTCCTCCTTTGAAGTGAAGGTTTTACCGTTTAAAAAATTCTGTAGTGATCGAAATCAATAATAATAACCAATTTTGGCACTGTCGTTCTGTTAATGCATCTTCTTTATACACACCTGACAATTTTCTTCTCGCTTGAACAGTATTTTTACCTTTACAATAGTAAAAACGTAAAATATGCCGTAAATGCTGCTTTTCTCTTTCCATATTTGATGGGGCACCAACCAAAAACTATAGAATAGAATCAGTGGAAAATTTTCACAAAAAAACCTTGCTATATCAGTTGTTAAAATGTATAATGATTTGCGGCTTAAATGTGAAGGTAGCTGTAAAAAAATACAATTAAATCCTGTGTTGAGAAAAAACGAAATTAATTTCCGAACAACCTAATATATTTACTATATTATAATTAAAAATTGACAGTAATTTAATGGTTTTTCTTAGAAATTGGGAATTTTAAAATAAATAATTTCTCTAGTTAAACCTAAATAAAAAAATGGTCGAGTTAGTAGAACAAAAGAAAGAATAAAAAAAATATTTTCATTTAAAAACCCCGATATTCTTAACTTCACAATTGTTTCTGATTAAAAGAATTGATCTTTTTTTTCAATTTTTGAAATATTATATTTGGTTTATAAAAGGGTATAAATCTTGTAAATATGGATGAAAGAGTTATTACGATAATTCGTATTTTTTATAAGAAAAAAGTTTCTCAAAATTTTATTAATAAAAATGAATTTAATAAACAAAGTATTTTTTTAACATTTTCAACTTCAGTCAAGGTTTCAGTTAGATTATGGTGTATTAAATTTTATGTAAAGATAAGGTAGTAATCATGATTATCAGCAGTCGGTAAAATCAGAAATAATTTGACTTTCTTAGGGAAAATGTAAAACCAAAGTGAGACGTACGTCCAATTCGTTGATTTTTAAGGAATCTATTTTTCGGGAATCTGAATATTTGTAGATGGATAAAAAATTTGGAGATATAGAAATTTGGAGATTTTGGAGATTCGTAATCTACATAGTGGAAATATAGAAATTTGACGTTTTAAGAATTTGAAAACATAGATATTTGAGGACAGTGGGATTTGAAGGCTTTTGAATATGGAGATCTTGGAACTCGGAAAATAAACTTGAAACTCGAAACTCTCGAATGCTGAGAATATAGGAATATAAGGGTTTAGAATCATGAAGATGATTTAAAATTTGGTATTGAAGGACCTGCTGGCTTAAGAATTTGGAGACTTAAAGATATGAATTAAAGGTATTACCTTAAAAGTATGAAACGAAGGAATTTGGAAATTTCAAGACTTGGGGTTACGGGAATTCAGAAATTTGATGAACTTACAATATGGGGCTTTGAGGTTTGGGTGTACAGAATGATGGAAACCTAGAGAGTTTCAAAGATCCACAAAATTGAAGATCCAAAAATTTCAATATCTAGGAATTTGGATATTTAAAAATGTAGGATTTTAGAGGATTTCAACATCTCGACATTAATGAGTATGAGTAAAATAATAAAATTTGTTGTTTTTATTAAATGCAGTATGTATTCAAATATTTATTACATTGTGTTCGACTAAATGTATTTTATATCTCTTTTTGAAGAGAGAAATTACATTTGTGTATACAATTACAACTATAACATAATACAGATACACACTTTGTGTTATTTTTCTGCTACTAAAAGAAAACTTGATGTAAAGGGTATGACATAAGTTTAACCTAAAGCTATAATACTTATTTTTAAAAACGACTTCTGGAATTATTATCGACGGCTATGATGACCCGGCAATCTAGAGTTACTTTAAACCTTTAGTTTATCACTTAGATTGAGATAGATAATAATCAATGTTTTTACTTACTACTTAATAATCAATAGTTGTTTTTAATTATTACTTGAAGATCAAAAACTTCTTTTAATTAGTTGTTTTCATATTAACGTGTACAAATATTTGATAACATAAAACTGTTTTTAATAATTGAATTTAGGCATTTTCTTTACATAACAGTACGCACGTGTATCTTTTAGTGAAGTGAAGATTTGAATACAGAGATAAAGAAATTTGATCACAAAGATAAGGAAATTTAATCCCATTTTAAAATAGGAATGCTAAATCAAGATAAAAAAAGACGCAGACTCTTACAAATCAAATAAGAAGTAAATATTCAATAAATATCTACTAAGATAAGTTTTCATTCAGATAAACAAAGATTGTAATATTCGAATGTTTACGTTTTTCTTAAACACATTTGAAATTTGTAAAGTTAGATTTTAAATCTCCTTACATAATTTCACGTGCACTATATGTATATTTTGTTTCAAACTTGGGATAATATTCTTGATATCGAATTTAGAAAACAATATATTTATATACAGTTCCTGATCATCGAATTAGGACTACGTACGAAAATTTCACTTTTCCAGCTATAACATTATGTCATATGAGGAGAATTGTATTCGGTCAAAATTATAACAACATACCTTGATAACAATATATACATAACAATTTGTTACTATCATGATAATAAATTGTGTGGGTAATGAGCGATTACACATTTTTATTACTAATTAAAAGATTTGGTACAATCCTTTTCTTCTGAGGATTTATTAATTCATTTGACGATCATGTTATGGTGCATTGTAAAATTTCAAGATGGAAGTAATAAGAGTTGGTTGTATATTGATACAATTAATATTGAACGTACCACAGTATAAGGCACTTTTACTTTGAAATAAAAAATTAAGCCGAAAAATGATTAAACAAACGATGAAAGGTGAATGAATATATACATTGAATTTTCATCTTTATTTGACAATGCTCAATTTTTGATTCTTCATAATCTTTTACTAAAACATTGAAGAGCCTGTGTATACAGTCCTTGACCATTGAGTTAGAAACACGTACGAAAATTTCACTTTGATAACTATAAGAATATGTCATATATGAAAAATTGTCTTAGGTCATGCAAATTATTACTAAATACCTTGATAACGATATATACCTAGCAATTTGTTACTATTGCAATAATAAATTGTGTGGCTAATGAGCGGTCAAGGGCCGTGCGAGCGTTCACGTTAGGCTCGAGTATCGATAGCGCGTCAGGTGAAATTTGAATGCCATAGAAAATGTCTGCCTACTCAAAAGACTAGTTCACAACTCTCCAACCATATTATCTGAGTTGAAAAGAATTACAGATATTTGGGAAAATAATGAAGATATAAAGCATATGATCAATGTATATAGAGCATGCCGGATTCAAACTGTGACCAAAGCAAAGGGTGGAAGTACAAGATATTAGCATGTGTTAATAACGTTATGTATAGTAGTAGTTATGTTAGTTGCTAATAAATATTACAATTTGAACAGACCTTTAATTTTACGGAAAATGTGAAAAATGCTGAAAATTTATAGTGGTCCTAATTCGATGGCCAATGACTGTATTGTAGATATAACAGAAGACAAATATTAATAGTAGTTTTATGATCAATCCTACCTTACATATTTATAAAATAACATTTGTGCAGTATATATAGCATATATTCCTAATTTAAGTATAAAAAATTCAACCTTGTTTCAGTTCAAAAATATAATACTGAATTGAAATTTATCAAAGTCTTGTTAAAATGTTAATAATTTCGTTTATAGGATATTTTTTTATTCAGAACGTGTCAAACCTCTACAGTTCTTTCTACTTTCACAAAGTCAACGCTCTCTTCCTCAATAAATAATGTGGCCAGACCAATAAATCTGACAATTTACATTACGGTCTACCTCCTTGACATCAACGACGAGGTGTTGACAAATATAAGTTTAACCTAACCTTAACTTAAACGGTTTACCGTGTGACAGATCGAATGTATAATGGTAAAAATATTTTTGTGTTTTTCAGAAACTCAAACAGTTAATTATTTGTGCAGGAAAAAATTCACTGTTAACCTTGACGAGATGATTCAAGGTTGTTCACTTAGGTGTTAGTTTGAAGGTCAGGTGTGCCATGATGTGAAGTATAAGTAATTACCAAAACCAAATTTGAACTTCATTTTTTCTAAAATAACAAATCAGCGTTTTAACCAATTTACTGTGGCGATCTTTTTGCAAAGCGCGCACCAGTATATGTCGCGCTAATTAAGCGATGACGAGTTAGCTCTCAAGAATTTATGAATCCATCTCAAATCATTTACACTTTTTATTTGTTTATTTCATTTCGTGTTGACCTCTAAACATTTTAAACATATTACAATTTACGAATGTAATTTAGTTTTCGCTAAAATTACAATTTAAATATCAAATTGTAACAAAATTTTACATCATGATGGATATAGTCGTCATGATACAAAATTCTGCCATATCTCCATGACGGACTTAGTCGCCAAACATACTTAACTGATTAAACAGAATATTGTAAAGTAGTAAAAAAAGACTGAATTTACTGCGTTTGACATTTTATATTTATCGTTCTTGTATCTCCAATATTTCAAAAAATAACGGGATTATCCGAAGTTAGCGTTAGAATTCAACATCTAATATGAAAAACATTGTAACTTTAACTACGGTGTTTCACAATTGTTATATAAACGTAATTAAAAGAAATAACCTTCTTTAGGTTCAGGAACCATGTTTCTATTACATTTAGAGGTATTTTGAATTGTTAAAAATCAAACATTGTAACTCAATATGCATCACGAGATTTAATTACTTGTTCAATTCTTTATTAATAATAAATTTATCAAAACGTTATTATTAATAAATTTGTTACTAATCATTGTGTAATGAAATACTACAGTAAGTGAATTAATTTTTAGTGGCAAATTTTATAACAAATTGATGTATTAGTTTGTTCTCCATAAACACTTTGTTGCACTCATATAAGTAATAGAAATAACATTACTGTATTTGCAATTATATCAATATTAATTTATAAAAAAGAGGAATTAGATCAATATTGTAAATGAAATTATATTATTTACTATTTATCACTACACCACTTTAGATTATATCATAGCTTCCTTGATTTAATGTACAGCTAATTTAATGCACTATGATTTGTTATACTCATGATTCTGTTATTATTTTTCTATACTCCATTAATAGTAAAATAAATACTAAATTAAGTTATAACTGATTAATGCAGTTAATAGTTAATAGTAAAAAAAATTAAAAATTTTGTAAATAAATGAAGTTAAAGATAAATTTTTTAAAAGAAACAGAGGTACAAATTTTTATGAGAATTTTGAGTGCTTTTAGTTTTCATTTCTTATGTGTATATTTTTATTTCTAATAGTTATGTGAACCAAATTGTATAATAGAGTTTGTAATAATTAGTTAGTAAAATTGAAAATGTTTCAAGCTATATTCTGTTAAGATATAATATTTTGTTGTCTATAAATTTATTAATGTAAAGTAAACATTGATCTGCTATGTGGACTAACCATAAAATATTGTTCTAAGCATCTTTGAAATTAACAGACAAAACAAAAATTATAACTTTGAGAGCAACTTTGCATACGTCATTCAATAAACAGTTTATTGAAATAAACAGTTCAATATTTATTTAACTTTTCTTTACACAATGTTTCAAAAACTTGATAAAACTCTCAATAAATGTACATTACAATTATATTGTATTAATTATATCAAGAGAAACAATACTGTAACTTTTAATATATTTATTTTCTCTTGTACATTTACCAAAGACACATATTTCAATAAAAATTTCAATGAATGTACAGTGCAATAATATTCTATAAATTATATCTACAAAACAATACTGTAATTTTTATTACATTTATTTCTTTTGTATATTTACCAAAGACACTTACAAATATCTTGATAAAGATCTCAATAAATGTACATTGCATTGATTTTCTACCAATTATATCTACAGATACAATACTGTAATTTTTATTACATTTATTTTTCCTTGAATTTTTTCCAAACACATTTATTATTGCAACTATTACGATGTTCTATTCTTCAATTTCATATTCTAACTTAATCAAAAACTGGCTTCCAAGTATTTTACAACAAGCAACTATTAACACTACAAAAAAAAATAAGAAATAAGCTATACATAAATTTTTATTACATTAACGGTAAAAATACGTAAAAAAAGGCAAAAAATTGTAAATCTTATGTAAACCTAATATGTATAAAGTAGTTACAATGTTCATCAGGTATCGGTATAATAAGGTCGATTTGTAAAGGTATACAGGAAGAAAAGAAGTACAGTTCGGAATGGCAGCTGTTTATTACAAAAACAGAGGAAAGAAGTGAACATTAAAAAAACAGCTTAAGTCAACGTTAAAAATAAAAACGATCAGTGATCTGATAAGCAGTACCCTGTGAATTTCTGTCGCAGTAATTAAGTACCCATCGTTAAAAACAGTGTCTGGTCTCTCAGATCAGTCTTTACAGTGGTCCTTGACTTATTAAAAGAAGAAACAATCGAAAAACCCTAAATTCGGAAACACTTCGCGTGTTTTACAAGCTGACTTTACATAAATAAATATGCTTAACATCATATATCATGAATATTCGTTGATCTAACGATTTTAACGCATCGCTGTTTCTTTAAATTACATGTAATATGAATAAGAAAAATCACAAAGCAAGACAGGCACTCGGTTACAAGTGTCCCATTCAAAATCAAAACACTCACTCGCGTGAATCACAAAAAATTAACATTTGTTCTTTAAAATCGATCATTGACTTTTTTAATAGATTCATGGAACACTTTTGGCGTACTGTTCCAACGTGCTTCAAACAATTTTCTGTTAAAAATAATTGTTATCTGTAACTTTCTGTTTTCTTCTCTGTTATTGCTTCTCGCAAAGATCTTCATACGTCCATGTTTCGTTGTTTTCAGCCATCTTAAGTCGCCCTTGCGGTTGAAAGAAATTCAATGTGTCTTTGAGGCAATTATAAACTGTTTGTTCCTGAATATGACGTGCTCTTCGACAATTTCAAGGCTCTTAGCTGCTTGTATAAACGCTGCTTGCAGAACTGATAGAACTCGATCTCTCGAGTGAAATTGCTTCGTACCATGTCTTTTATTTCTTCGCTGACTGGAGGCTTGAAGAAATTTCGGTTGATTCTGGTGAACGCGTTCACTTCGTCTGAAAATGAAAGTTTTTCAATGTGACTATGTGACAGTTATGTCAAGGCTTAAATTAATCCTCTTAGTATCCAAAAGCTGATATATCTTAGATTTGGAAAGAATACGTTGATCCCACATTTTGATTTTTCATTTTTAATCAAATTTACGTCTTAGTCTTTTACTGTTAAATTTTACCAACATATTCTATATGCAAAAATGATTAAAAGATGTTATTAACCAAATCGTAGGAAATTCACGTTTTATTAAATTCACGTGGATTAAAGTTTAATATAAATGAACCCTTAATGGACCAAAAGTATTCCAAACTGATTTGCTACCAGATCTAAGCTGTTTTTCATATGAAAAGAAACATTTTTATATCAAGTATAAAAGAAAATATTTATTGTTGTTAACAAACTAAAATACAGAAAATTGAATTGCATGGAATAAATCAAATAAGTAACAGTATGATGCATCAATGGCGACTTTGATCCATCAAGGGTTAACTTCAACGTGAAAACTTTTATTGTTGCGATTATAGTTTAAAAGAATTTGTAAAAGCTTAATAAAAGATTTTACCATAGTAGACATCAGTGGCTCCTTGAAAAAATCGGGGTATATAATTTTCCAGTACCGTGAGAGTGGCATTCACGTCCTCGAGTACACCAACAACGGCATAGTGTTTTTCTACCGCCATTTTCGCTCGTTCCAGGGCTCCCACAGTGTTGAATGGCCTTTAAGAAAATAACAGTTAATAAGTATTATAACGATTTGAATTGTTGACTGATGGGAGATACAGAAATAATATGGAGGCAACGATATAATAAAATGTAAACAACACATTTTGTGTGGTATATTATTATACCTTACGGTAACTTCCAGTAGTGTTTGAGGATAGTGTGTTTTTTAGATGGCCTTAACCGTTTCATGATTAACCCTTCGTTAGTCGTGCGTGTATATGTTACCGTGAAAGATCGAAATTGGAGAATGTTGACTTTCACTGGTGAACGTCAACACATACCAAATACATCGGTGAAAGATCGAATATTTTATTACATTCTTGTACATTCGGACCTTCACCGGTGTATGTCGACAATCGCAGATATGCTCTGGTGGAGGTCCAAAAGAGAGGAATCGACAAAGAAGCGACTGGCTCTCTCCCGCCAAATCCTGTGTTCTGTTGGGAGTCAGTCAGTTTTGCCAATCTTATGCAAGCTTTGATAATGCGAGTAACGTTTTTTTAATTTTTGTTTCCAATACCGTAATTTATATTGAATGGATACTGCAGTAAATCGTGATCTTTTTCTTGAAAAGTTAAATGCATTAATTGCGGGTAAACGAGAAGACAATTGTTTTTATTTTTCTCAAGAAAAGTACTCTAAAATACTTTCTGAAGTGGTTTCTGCTAAAACTAAGTGCAACACACCTTTGGATTTCAGACGATTAAAACGTTTTGACGTTTTAAAAATTAATGATGAAAGGAAATTAATTGTACCATTAAAATCAGGGGAAACGAATATACAGTATTATGTTACCAATGAAGAATTGTTCAGTATACTATATGAAACTCACGCCAGAATAGGCCACGGAGGAAGAACACGTATGCTTAGAATGTACAATGTGTTTTAAATTCTTGGTTACTCCTCTCAGAAAAAGAGGCGAAAAAGTTACGTCACCCTCGTGACGTTTTATAGCGACTGAATTACGGAGAAGAAAATATAAATCTCCGACATGTTCAACATTCACCATTAGTGCATGGTGAATGTCGACATTTACAGGTGTAAGTCAGAAATAAAGGTATTTAGCAAATATTTCGGACATACACCAAGCGATTATCTGAATGTTGACATTCACCGGTGCAAGTCGACGTTCTCCAGATTTCGGTCTTTCACGGTAACATATATACGAGATACGTGGAATATCTTGCAAGATAGTTACAAATCTAATAAATCTAGAAAATGGAGATTTATAGCAGTTCTTAGTAAATCCTGAAGCCCTTCATGGAAGTGGGAATATTTCAGATATACAAAATTATTGTAGTTACAAAAATTATCAATTTACAAGAAAAGTTCTCTAATTCGTGTACGACTTCCAGCGGCATAGGTAATGGTTTGTAGATAAAAATAAATAGATAATGAAAGTAACGTGTGAAAATTCATTTCACAACAGTAAAATTCGTGAGTATTTACTAAAATTAGTAAAGTTAATTTAATGAACATTTTAAGACAAAGTCACATTTATACTTCAAGGGATTTAAGTCAGACGACGTTAACCTCAAAAATTCACTGTTTGCGTCAATGACAGATTTACAATCACAGAAGTACGTTTCGACTGCAAAAATATTATTACCAAAAAATTAATAGTTTAAAAGTTCTTGGAAATAACGTTTTGATTCTGTGAAATTTATTGCGAGTCAAAGAACGCTAGACACAGTTCTCTCTCCTATAGAATTACGTTTTTGAAGATAATGTCGTCCGACTCTAAACCCTCGAAATATTCAAAAGTAACTGGCTGAAGATTGAATAAGACATCAAGTTATAATGAACAGACATAAATGATTCTTTGCTCAGTTTGTTATATTGGTCTTGTCTTTCAATACAAAGTTTACGTTTCAATTTGAAGTTGTCTTTCAGTATAAAGTCTACGTTTCAATTTAAAGTTGTCTTTCAATTTAAAGTTTACAACGTTTCGTTCTTCTTCGAATAGCATTAGAATTTCTACGAATTTCAGTGATGTCATTGGCGCCGCTCTCGGATAACAGACAATTATGTCATAAATTGTAAGCAACGTTTACGGTTGAAATCTTGAGGCAATGGATTATTAGATTGAGGGGTAACAATCTATTTCACAGTTTCACGCATTGTAGTCACTGTAATGATTGTTCGCGTCATCTCTCTTAACTAACTAGGATAGCGTTTGACTCCGACTCATTGTTTTTGTCTCTTAACGTCGTCTTTTCGATACGAAAATAAAATTGAAAAAAACCTACGTGCATTTCTCGCTGTGACCACAGAAAAATAACGTTTGCCTGCGATGATCGCCAATCCCTTCGTGAATTTCGCCCTCCAGGTATCTGCATTCACGGTCCGCCTTAAGTACACAGGTCTCGAAGTCCTTTTTTAACCAATTGGGATCCGGCAGGGGTAGATCTGGAAATATTTGCTTTCTCTCCACGTAATACCAAGGTGCTCGAACATAATAGTACCAGGATATCACTCTCTCAACAGGGTCTCGGACTATGTTGATGTAAATTGGCTGAGGCAGGTTGAATCTAGGGAGAAAATTATGGGGTATTAAATAGACAGATTGGTGATCGAAGAAGTTCCGGGTAAGTTATTTTATTTTATTCTTAGTTCTTTTTTTTAATGAGGGCTAATCATTTCATGTGATCTTTTTAGATATTTCTTGTATTCTAAACGATAATAGCAGGTGGCCAAAATTATTACACTGGAGAGGTTTTTTATTGGAAATTTGTGACAGATGGGACGTTAATTAGTTGAGTATTGTTTAAATGTTAAATTATATAATATCAAATAGTTAAATATTCGGGAATAAAAAGCGAGTGTGGATGTAAGTGTTTTCTGTTTCGTGTCTTTGTTTGTGGTTGGACGAAAATCTTGATTTCAACTTAAGAGACATATCACAAGTACAATATATAGGGACTTTGTTGTTAAATATTACTATTAGCACCATTTCGGAAACATCTTGTAGTTTATACTGCCTTTTTAATTTTATGCATTTATCAATTTTATAATAATTAATTACTATACACATATTTTTACTTAAAAAGTTTATTAGAGTTCACTTTAATTTAAGGGACTTACTCAGTGAAGTTGGTGAAACACACGTGTTTTATATACACTGATGGTTCTGCATAACCGCTGACCATCCTGGCAAGTTGAATCTGCAAGAAAATACAATAATCAGTGATAATAACACATTACATTTATTCGTATAGCTTTATACACACTAACATCATAATTGAAATGGGTCCTTTCATGATTGTTCTACTGTACACAATTTCCTTGTTTCCTATTCTCTGTTCTTTTATAATAAATTATTATATAATTTTAAATATAATAAATTTTACTTAAATAATCAATTATCAATTTAAATATTTGTGCCAGTTTTTAAAAGAAAAGGAGTCACAATAATTATGCACATATTAAATATTTTCTTACCTGTTCAATGGGAGCAAGGCGTATGGTTTCTACTCGCTGAACACGATCTCTGTTAAAAGTAAACCCATTTCTCATGGACAGCCTCCTCAATAGTTCCATGAAAGTTTGAGAGCCAACTTTTGGTACTCGATTGAAGAACAAAATCTGTCTGCCCGCTCGTTTTGTGTTATTGAGCGCATCGATGTCCAGCACTTCTGGTTCTCTATTCTGAAATCAGATAAAAGGAATAAATATTTTTTTTTACTTTCTTAAATATTATCTAAAGTGAAATGGGATAAATGCAGAATGGTTTTTGTAAAGTTGGTATTTAAACGTAAGTATTTTTAGTCTGCTATGTAAATATTTAACGCTGTCGATATCGAACGCTTTGCACAATTATTACTGTTTAATTAATATTAACTAGGACCTTAATTTTCCTTGTACATTTTGATTTTGATAGGAAATTGTTTAAAATGTCAACTACTCTGCACTTTCCCCGAAAATGGGGTAAAAACGTAACTTGAAGTTAAATACTTTGAAACTTTATTTCATGTGCAATAGGGCAAGAGCAGAATTATTAACAAATCTATAAACTGCTTTTTACTGCGTTATGCAAGTACTCTATACTGCAAACAAGTACTCTTCGCTGAAATATAAAACAGGATATAGTGAAATAAAACAAGGAAGCAAACATACTAAATGGAGAAATTTCGCTCATATTGTAATAAAAATACCCTGTATACGCACTTGTCCCGTTTACGAACTTACCCCACTTCACCTTACGTGAATACCATTTTGTTTACTTTCTTAAATATTAACTATGTAAATAATAAGAATTAAACAAAATTTTTTAATTTTTGAATGTTCGAAGCTTTGAATCCTTGAACCTGTTAATTTTTAAACTCCGAGACTTTGTAATATATGTACTATGTTTTACAAATGTGAGACTTACGAAAAATGATTATTCTCAAAAATATGTTTAGTTCCAAAAAGTTCAATAGATTCTTTAAATAATAATAAAGTGATACGTAGGCACTGATAGAATAAACATCGTTAATAAGAAATTATGCATACACATCACATAATAATAGAAAAAGGAAAGCTTGCAGAAGCTCTTTTATAAAAATAGAACTACTTTAAACGAATTTTAATGTGATATCTAAACTTGATAATTTTTCATTGAATTTTGATTAAAAACCATTTATTTATAACAATAACCATTAGATGCTGCAAGAAATTCTTATTGTTCGCTTTTTAGGTTGATATCACATTTTTTCGGTTGTACACATCTTTGATTTGATAAATATCTAGCGTGTATTATAATATAATATAATACTCTATGTCTCCTACTCGAAAGAATGAAAATAATAAACATTCGAATACTTCTAGTTTAGTTCTAGTTTAATACTTTCTTGCTGCGGTGAACTCATTTACGAATAGCTGAAACTTCAGTTTTCATTTCTTCCCATCTTTTTTACCTAATCAGTTCAACATACTTCGCTTAAAAAGAATTCCTCTGACCGTACGAATGTTGAAAATACGTTTCCGCAAAGTTGCAAATATAGAATTCAACTTCGTACGAAGTACTTTATTAGCGTTCAATTTCTTACTAATCTGAAGTAACATACCTTTTGCATGATTTTCTTAATGGAACGATAACTAGAACTTCTTGGTTAATAGCTAATTCCTTTCCTTAGAACGAGAGATTCAAGAACGCAAGAAACATTGAAAAGTGACCTTCCTTGGTGAACTCCGTGACATATTAAATTTACGATACTAATACTTCTTTGCAACTTTCAATATCGAATGTAGTTGTTCATAATTAAAGACAATTTTAAATAGCGTTTCATTATAAAAATTTCGAAGTATCACCTTGAAATATGTTGTCAAGGTCATCATTCTGAATAATGTATTCCTACACATATGATGGTCAAACTCTTTTAGTCTTCGAGATATTTGAAGAAATAACGCGCTTTACTGCCAATATCTTCAAGAGTGAGTAAGTCACAACTAGGATATCCTGTATTGTTTTGGGGAGCTTCACCCTCCAAACCTCTCCGCTTCCACGGCGACAATAACCCCAAACCTCTTTAGGACATACTTTTTTAGGTACTTCGAAAACACATACGGGGATTAAGGAACAGATAGTATATGTAGGATTGAGCTTAATGCAGTCGAATGCTAAATGGAGCACATATTAGTCATTTATTCATTTAGACTTTCATTCAAGGTATACATAATTGCCATTATTTTGAAAAACGCATCTGACAACATATTTCAAGGTAATCGAAATCGGAGGTGGTTTCATTCTAAATATTTACCAAAATTTTATTTCATTGTGGCAATAACTATATTCATTCTAATAATAATATGTAACTCACAATAAAAATTGGTCACTCAAACGTGGGCCGAACACTATATTATACGAGAAAATATACTGATTTAATATTTCGTAATTCCATCTTTCTTATTTAAAATCCTAGACACACAAAAAATCGCGCATCTGTTAAATATAAGGTCGCTTAAATTGAAGTCAAAATTTTCATCGAACCACTAAAAGAGGACCGAAACAAAATATTTAACATACACTTATACTCACACTTTTTTCTATTCTAAAATGCACCAAGTACCAATAACATTGTTAACCCTTAGCACTTGAAGGTATTTTTGCTGTTGTCAGACATCAACCTTAAAACTCTTTATTTACAAAGTTAGCTGAATTCATGTAAGATTACTACTACTCTATGAGCATAATACAATCAAATGCTAAATGGAGCACATATTAAATTCTAAATTGGAGACACGTAATTGCCATTATTTTGAAAAACGCATCTTGATAACATATTACAAGGTGATCGAATTAAGAGATAGCTCCCTTATTCTAAATATTGACCGTACCTTGTATTAACCAAGTTTTGATTGTTTCAACAAGTGCATCTGTCAGAGAGATTTAATTATTGCTACAGTGTCAAGAAAAACAAAGAATGTTCAAATGTCAAAGTTATTTCGGAAATAGTAATCATTGATGAACGGTTGAGAACTAAAATTGAATTTAAAATTCAATCGTCATGATAATATGTGTTGTTTTCAATAATTATGTGTGTCACGTGTGACATCATATTACAAGGAGTTACAGAAGCACGAATTTTGAAATGAAGACATATTTATACCAGAATTACTAGGTTGAAATAAGTGGTTTGTCGTAGATTGAAATTCAAATTGGAACAGGTTTATTAATTAAAATCGTCATTAACCCTTTGCCCTACAATATCGTGTCGCACTCGTGACGCACACGACACTTTGAATATAATAAACCAGATTCGTATTTTTACTGCAATTGAATCTGCATAATCAAGAATCTGTGATTAAAAGATGTGCGTAATATCTTAACTTTCTTCAAGTGTCTTAACATTGTAGCAGCAATTAGTTAACTATACATGACGCAGCCCTCTGTACTCGAAAAATAACTTACACTCACCATTTAGCAATACTACAATGTGAAATTAATATTTTTTAACTGATTCTATAATATTACACATATAATTTATAAACATAATGAAATAGACAATAGCAATTGCAATGTTAAATGAATTTAGCAAACTTTTTAACTAAAATTTTTTAAGGTTGATAATTGAGAGCAGTAAAAATATCTTCCAAAAAATAAAGGTCAATAGTTCACTGATACTTTTGTTGTATAAATGTCCTAATATTGAAACGAGTCACAATAATTAATATTTGAGTGGAAATTTTCTTAATAACATTTCTGTTTATTTTGAACATTTAAACTATTCAAAATGTAATAGAATAATGTATTAGCTTTTAATGTATAGATATAATTATAAATTACTATAATTCAGTACCAATAGCACGCAAAAATAAACTGGGCCGTATAAATATTTTTAAATTTTAACCCCTTGCTGATTTACGTATCAGATGCGTCGGTCAGTGCTGAATATTCATAGGCACAATATTAAAACAAACGAAAAAATCTGAAATGTTATCAATTTTGTATTCAGCAATCTTTGACTAGAAAAATTATATAAATTAGTAAAATTTATCATATTTGAACTGCGAGTGCATCATTAGCCAACTCCGTCAAAATACATCCTAGGATTAAGTTATTAGATAAAATATTAAAAATATTAAATATTTAACCGAGAGTATATACGCATTTATATGTATTTCACTTATGTGAACATGTGTGCTTCTCGATTTAATCAGCCGCATTTCTCAATATTCAGCCAGGATTCGCCTTGTAGCAAGTACCTGGAAACATTCATTATAATTTCCGCAAATTATCTAACAGTCAATAATCAGCAAACTTTTGTCACACAGTGTGTAAAGGATCCAGCAGAGCTTCATCGTTTTCTTCCTGTCCACGTCCCAAGGCTTAGGCATTACGCTACAAGTACCTTACATTATTACATTATTACTACACGGGTTTGCACGCTTCCTTCTCGATTATGGACCCCCCAGCCGTCTTCCTACCGTCTTTCTTCCTTGAATTCTCCACCAATTTATGGTCTATCCTTTCGCCCGCGGTATTAAAGGATCGTGACGTAATTTGCTTCGCGGTTATTCGTGTAATACCAAACATTACGGAGGAAGTTTTACGTTTATCCACTACCATTTCCTAATAGTTGTATGCGAAATTCGCGAGAACTCATTTTAATGTAATTTGATTGCAATTAGTCTGATAAGTGTAGCGGACGATACATATGTAGAATACATGGCTTGATTTATTGATATTTAATGAGAACGAATTTAAAATAAAATATTTCCTGTACGGTCGAACTAATAATATCGGTTAATTGAATGACAATTTATAATGAAATATTTGAATTTAAATTTATAACTACACACTTACATTCAAATTTACAATTGAGATCTAAAAACTTGAATTTACATTTACTATTTATAATTATAAACTGGAACTTAAGCTTAAAATTTACAATTAAGAACTTCAATTTGAGCTTACAATTTATAATTATAAACTTGAAAATACATTTACAATTAAAAAGCAAAACTTGAACTTAATCGTACAAATTATAATTATAAATTTGAATCTACACAGATAATGTCTTCCAGACAAAAATAAATAGATAATAAAAATAACGTGTGAAAATTCATTTCGCAACAGTAAAATTCGTGAGTATTTACTAAAATTAGTAAAGTTAATTTAATGAACATTTTAAGACAAAGTCACATTTATACTTTAAGAGATTTAA